TAATATCTTCGAGAAAGTGAATAAATGAACAAATAAATTAAGATGGATATGGAATAATAAAATAGGTATATAAAATTACAATATGTACAATTACGTAATTAATGCAGTGGCATCAAACCATTTACAACTATCTACAGAAGGGACAGCCGTCAGTGTCAAATTCTAAATTACGAATGGCCGATTTGAAAGCTGTAACTGTTGGCAGTGACCTGGTGGTATTGGGGAGGGAGTTCCATGGTTTACTTCCGTAGTAAGATAGAGAGTGCATGCAGGCCATATCTAGTGGTATTAACACGAGGGATAACAAGAGAATGTGTACCACTAGTACGTAGATTTATGCTGTCTTTCGACAACCTTCCTTGAAAAAGTTGTATGGTGAAACAATTAGTTTAATAAGGTGTATAGCAAACAAACTGGAAATCACGCTAAATATTAAGCATGCTGAACTTTACTTTATTCTGTCCAGTGTACAAGCTGGCTTTCAATGCATGCTGGTGATTCTTTTCACTCCAGGGCACTATCAGCTTTCCTCGAATGAAGAAAAAGAAAAGAAAAATCGCCTGAATTACAATGTACATAAAACCCTGCCAGGAACACCAAAAACCCGGGGCTGATGTTGGCACTACCGTGACAAATACTGCACTACAAACGGTGGTGTCAAAAGTGCTAATTGTTCAAGATTAAATGTAATAATAAACACAACATTGATTTGTTTAACGTTTTCGATACCAGCTACGCTTTGACAATATCTTCGAAATCTAGTCGTCCCATTGTGCTTCGTACAGAAAATTTCCATCCGTGCTCTCTGAGCCAAAAACCTCAACAGTACTAACAGTTTACAAACGATGAAATAAGAAACTTTTAAATGTTCAATTTTCTGTATCGCCAAACAGGCCAGTGAAAATTGTGTAACAACAAGGATCAGACTCTTAATACCAATCTAATAAATTTTAACAGAAACTGTAGTCGCTGCGGCCTCCAGTACATTGTCGTATTTGACACCTGCTGGAAGATTTTTCTTGATCCATTTTGATCCTTTTTCAGCAATCATTTCCCATTCATCCTTCTGATCCAAGAACTTGCCCATCAACAGCACCAGAGCCAGAGCAGTGGCCCACAACAGCTTCCCTTCACCTGTGTCAGCTGCAATCTCTTTAGGGCATCCTTTGATCAAAGCATCTCTGCTTGTACCGCACAGTGACACCAGTTGGTCTGTGAGATCCCATGAGCCTGACGCTTCCTGTAAAGATATTACCGACAAGGCTGCTGGGGCTTCCTTCATTTCCTGAGACATCCTATCTGGATCAAGAGGGGGACATAAGGATTTCTCAAAACCTCCATCAAATTCTTTTTCCGTGCGACGAGCACACTTAACAGTCCAGGGTTTTTCTTCCGCCGCTGGCTCGGGACTGTACTTCAAGGACTGTACTTCCGGGACTGCACTTGCTTTCCTTCTAAATAGCGAAGAGAAAAGCCCTTTAGATTTTGTTTTCCTGGCTGAAGATTTTGTCCTCGACTTTGAAAAGCTGAATCCAAAACCAGACTTTTTCATGACACGGGCACGGGCCATGGGCATACTGCAAGCTACGTTTTGATAGGAGGGTACAAAGTGTTTTCTCAAGGGTCCTGATACAGGCTGATTACTGCCTTTATCAACAGCCACAAACGATGTCAACTTTGACACTACATTGGCTGTTTTGCTGATGCTGATAGTACACCTTTTGGCTTCTTCAATCTCTTGCACATCGTTCTTTTCGCTGTAGCCATCTTGCTTTTCTTGAATGAAACTCTTGGCTGCCAACTGATGAAGAAGAACATTTCCCTTGTTTTCAACAGCAATGGGTGGAGTTGAGAACTTGACCGAATGTTGCATTTTCTCATCATTTCCAAGCATTCCTTCCAGCCTAACTTCATTGTCATCACCTTCATTTGCATTTTCTGAAGCCTTAAGAACACCATACACCACGAGCCCGTCACCACTGAAGAGAGGAGGAAGAGACGAGGGGATCTGGTGCACAGTCCACCCTTTTGCTAGGTCCCAGACTATGTTTACATCTGAGATTACCGGCTGAAGAGCAAGCTTTAAAGTCTTGATAACCTGTGAGATGGAAGTTAAAAACGTGCTAAGTCAAGATACGAAAGACGGTTTTCTAAAGATCAAAATGTGTTTCGAAATTCTTAATAACTATTAACTACTTAGTAAGCTCGAGGTTTTGTGGAAGCATGGTGGCCTCATGGTTAGTGCACTCGTCTCCGGATCGAGAGGTCCGGGTTCGAGCCTTGGCCGGGGACATTGGGTTGTGTTCTCGAGCAAGACACTTAACTCTCACAATGTCTCTCTCCGCCCAGGTGTATAAATGGGTACTGGCGAATTTTATGCTGGGGGTAACCCTGCGATGGACTAGCATCCCATCCAGGGGAGCAGAAATACTCCTAGTCGCTTCATGCTACAGAAATTGGGATAAGCGACAGCCTGATTGGCCACTTGGCTCGTATGCAGACTTAACCTGAGCTCGAGGTTCTGTCGAGTCAAGATCTTTAGGGCACTAGTTGACCATGGGATTCGATACAATTCAGCAAAGTTATTCATCAGGAGCAAGCCATGGTGGCGTTTATTTNTATCAAAATTCTGTAACCCAAACGAAGGAACAAATGAAGGAATGAATGAACGAATGAACAAACAAACGAACAAATGAATGAATGAAGTCCTTGAAACTTTTATTTTATCTTTACTCATTCTTCACTGCAGACTTGATGATTGATCAAACCTGACCATGTGATTGTAGAATGTTGTGAGCTGTGTAACCGCTCCTCCAGTAGTTTTCCAGTAGTTCGGTCGGATGAAACACGTTGTCAGTCGCTTGAATTAAAATAGAGTTGCGTTCTCGAGTTTTGGCTGGTTTATTGGCTCTAGAATATTACAGTAATCTTGGCAAATCTTGATCACTGAGGTGCTTAATGCACATTGCCAAGAACTCAGTAAGCTCACACACTTTTATACGTGGTTTCAACCGAAAGCAAAACATTTTTGGGCACCATGATCAAGAACATATCAATATTGTTTTCAATTAAAAATATTTTTATGGGTTCTAGGCACTTTAAAAAAACTCATGCCACTTTTTTATCCAACCAGAAGTAGAACCAAAACCAATTATGACTCACTCACACTCGTTTTCCAGTGCTTTGCATCAGCTACATATAATTACTTCAAGTTTTGTTGGTTCACTGTATGGTCTGTGTCCTTTGTGATTGGCCAGATGGGTTACAATTGAAAGCCGCTCTATGTCACATTTACATCTGCACTGCATTGATGTCATACCTTGGCTTGCAGTCGGTCCTCCTCAGCAGTAACAAACTCTGCAGTACCCTTCCCAGCTCTGGCCACACCTTTCACTAGTGCTGTGGATGCTCCAGATCCAATGCCAAACGTAAAACATCTGCAATAAAAAAACAAAATTATACACCAAGGAAATGAAAAACATGTATGAAGTTGAAGAAGCAACATGTGAGTCAGGATATACAACCATGAACAATTTTCTTGTGATCTAAAAAATCCATGCACCCTTTAAATGATGGAGTAATAGTACAGTCAAACCTCTGGTTGTGACCACCTCTCCTCAGCAACCAGTTTTCCAAAATACCAAACATTTTCAAGTCAAATCACTATAATTGGGAAACCACCTCTCGTACATGTAAGTGACCGCAACCACTTTTAGAGCTAAAAGTTTGAGATTTTCTTCTGTTTTTAACCTCCCGTAAGTGATCACTTGACAGATAATAGAGTGGAAATTGGATAATAAGGTGTTGTAACATTATCATATTCCTGGGTACATGTACATTGTAGTACAAGAGACAGGAATTTCTCAATGGGAAGCACTGGACTGTTTTCTCGAAGTTGACTTTTCACATGATTAAAACATAAAAACATGGGGTCTCTGCAGTTACATGTACCATATGCTGATGAGGCAAAATTTTTGATCCAAATGTAGGGTCTAAGCTCTCATAAGCGACCACCTAGGCTTGAAATTTTGGGTGGTTGCTTACAGGAGGTTTAACTGTAGTTTACATCTATATGTATGAATATTGGCAATTTGTTTATTTACTATCAGTGCTTAGGCAGGAAAAGAGCAGCGAGGCAATGGTACTCTAAAGGGACCCTTGCTACAGTGCACCCTTTGCATAAGTCTCTCACACAACCTGATCAGATATAAAATTTAAAAATAACCACAGTACAAAAATGACACCAGGAAACAGGAAAGAGTGTCGAAATCAGCAAAAATGCCAGGTTATATCTACAATATTATTATTGATGACTAAAATGTAAATTGTGCCTGTTTGGGCATTTTAAAACAAATGAGGCAATTCTTATTTTGCACTTAATGTTGTACATGTTTTCTGACTTTGGGTTGTCAGTTAGGGTGAAAAACAGTTTTAAAAAATGGGAGGAACTAGAAAAGCCTGTTCAGTTCCCCAGCACCATTGTAATTACAGATGCTGGGAACTGAACAACTGAACTGGGGAACTGAATAAGACTGGAAATGATACAATGTGGTTACAAAGTTGGTCAGTGTAAAATGAAGACTGCTGACTGCAGACTGGGGATAAAATGCAGACTGAGCTTAAACTGCAGACTGCAGACCAGGGGTAAAATGCAGACTGTAGACTTTTTAATTGATTTGTGTTACTTAAATGAGTGATATTCAGACTAACCTGAGTGATATTCAGACTAACCTGAGTGATATTCAGACTAACCTGAGTGATATTCAG